AAATAGACCTCAACCTCAGTTAAAAAGAAAAAAAAGACCCCAGACCCCCCTGAGAGAGGGCTCAAAGGTTAAAATCTGAGCATCCAGTCTCAAAAAATGTTCTCCATAGCCTCAGAAATCTTAGACTCTAGCCTCAGATGGTGGTTTTAGGGACCAATACCTGAGGCCTAGACTAAAAAAACAAATAAAAAATAAAAAGACCTAGATTCAGAAAGAACCCAGACCTAGCATTAGAGAACTCAGACTCAGAGATATCAGAGACCCCAGATTTAGATCTCAGAGAAAAGAAACTGCAGACTGAGACATAACTCAGAACTAACTCCAGACCTTGGGCGGTGGAGGGGGCGGGGTGTGTGGAGAGGGAGAAAAGCGGGGAAAGAGAGGCAGCTAGTCCAGAGATGGAGAACTGAGCGACCCCAAACTCATAAAGAATTTGAAAGACCTTGGAGAGTGATCACAAACCCAGAAACACAACCCCCCAAACAAAAAACCAAAAGGAAACCCAATCCTGAGAAAGATTCCAATGCAAACACTGAAAGACCCCAGAGAGAACTATCTGAGAAACAAACTCCAACCTAAAGACAACGATTTCGGGGAGACCCCCAACCCCGGAGAGGTAGGTGTGAGAGAACTCTGACATCAGCCTGGGAAACGCCCAGCCACACCCACCCAGGCGACCAGAGACCCTAGACCTTGGAAAGAGGAGAAATACAGGGTAGGGGGAGTGGCAAAAGCCTTTTTCTCTGCTGTGTCCTCCCACCTCTCTGTTCTCTCATTGGCCCCTCTCTCCATTTTTGGGTCAGAGGATGTGCTTGGGCCCCAGGGAGGTTATGTAGGGCAGGTCCTAGCTCCTAGGGGGATGGGTTAAAGGAAGGAGACCCAAGGCTGACAGGTAGACCAGTCTTTGAGAGTGAAATAGAAAGGGATAAGGGACAGAAGGACCATCACTACTTCCTGGTGTCCTCTCCATATCCCTAACCTGAAGCTCTCATCTGTACTTTTCCCAGATTCGCCGGTCTGTCTCCAACTTCGGGTTCACTTAATAAGGCCGAGACGCCTTCAGCCCCATTTTCATCATCTTCTATCCCATTTACAGGGTCTCACTGTTCTTCCAAAGTGCGACTTTCCTCACCTAGCCATTGTCTTGCCATGCTCGTGCTTGCCTAATCACTCCCCGCTACCCGAGGACAGCTGGCTTCTCAGATTAGCATTGTTTATTCCCAAACTCAGGCACATGTCCCAAAACCAGGCATAAGGGCAGGAGGCGCTCTCTTCACCCCGCCAGGTCCAATCTTCTCAGACCCTCCCACTCCTTCAGGCCTCAGGAACCGTGTATGGGCTGTTACTAGGCACACTCTGGGGATTAAGGATGATTCCCCAGTCCACTACCTAACGCGAGTCTGCGGGGTCTCCAGCCCTCCCTTTCCTAGCGCCAGGTTTCTCATCACGTGGCCACAGGAGCTGGCCTGCGATTGGCTTCTTCGCGCCGCTTATTAAGGTACCGCCGCCGGAGGGGGTCCAGCCCCCTTCACGTGACAATGGAACGCCGCAGCGGCTCTTGTCAGCTTGCAATTGGCCGTTTCCGGTTTACCCGAAAATGGGCGTGCCCTTTCCTTACACGACTGCGGATCCCGCTGTCGATTGGTTAGCTCCCGCTGCGATCCTCCCCCACCAGGAGGTGGGGCAAATCGGGCCAACTGAGGGCCGGGATTGGCTGGTTTTGGAAACTTCTGTAGCCCAGCTTCTGTCACGTGGTGTGTGCTGTTTTCTTATCACGTGGCTGCCGCCCAGGTAAGAAGAGGCCACTGTTCCTGGGTTTGGGGTCCTTTCTCGGCATTACTGTGGTCTCTGATATTCAACTGCTCTTTACCAGTGTAGGCTGCATGAGGGGGTTGCGGACTACCGCAGTCCTGCTCGGCGGAGGGGTGAGTGACCGGCCCCGCCCCTTCCGGTCCTCGGAGCTCGTCCACCGCCCGTTCCCCAAATCCCAGAGGTCCACTCCTGAGGAAGAAACGAAAACCACGCCTTTGCCTTAATTTTTCAGGTTTCTCTCTCAGCTTCAGGGACCTTTATCTTCAGGGTGCAAAAGAGGGAGGGCAGAGCCTGTGTCTATCCAAGCGAAGGGTTTCCAGAGTTAAATTTCCTGGAGCATTTGTAGGGAGATACCGAATTCACTTCCGAATTCACTTCCTGCTACCAGGCTGCTGTGCTCTTGTCACTTCTTTGGATGCCGGCGCTGTTGCCTGTGGCCTCCCGCCTTCAGTTGCTACCCCGAGCCTTGCTGTCCATGGCTTCAGGAAGCTCCCCGTCCCAGTCCTCGCCAGCCTCTGGCTCCGGCTATATTCCTGGCTCAGTATCTGCAGCCTTTGTCACCTGCCCCAACGAGACGGTCGCCAAGGAGATCGCCAGGTGGGGACCCCAGTGTGAAGAGAGGATGATCATGAACGAAGGTTGGGGTTGGGCGAGAAAGGTGCCTTCCCGCGGCTTCCTGCCTGCTTCAGGTTTGGAAACCTGTCTCTGGGTTGGCAGTGCAAAAGTCCAGGTCATGGGATGCTCTGAATGGGGCTGTCTCTTCACCTTCAGGGCTGTGGTGGAGAAGCGCCTGGCAGCCTGCGTCAACGTCATTCCTCAGATTACATCCATGTAAGTCATATAAGTTGTGGGGTTAACCTAACTTTAGGGGCTGACTGGCACTATTTCCTTGGGTAAAATCTTTGCTCCCACAACACTCTCTCCCTGACCTTTTCAGCTATGAGTGGAAAGGAAAGATTGAGGAGGACAGTGAGGTGCTGATGGTGAGAAACATTCCCCCACTCCACAAAATCTTAATTCCCTGATCTCTTTGACCTCTATCCCTCATCTGAGGTCCTGAAATCAACCCTACCCCTTGAATCAACTATGTTCGTCTTCACCTTTTAGATGATTAAAACCCAAAGTTCCTTGGTTCCAGCTTTGACAGATTTTGTTCGGTAAGAACTTTGAGATAGGTGGGGTGAGGTTGTGTACTGTGGGGTGGGACTTGCTGGGCAGTCTGCAGTGGTGGGCTCCTTTGGGTAAATCTTTGAGTGACCACCCCTCCCCCCATCTTTTTCACAGCTCTGTGCACCCTTATGAAGTGGCTGAGGTGATTGCACTGCCTGTGGAGCAGGGAAACTTCCCATACCTGCACTGGGTGCACCAGGTTACAAAGTCAGTTTCTGACTAGCGTAGTCCCACCATGATGAACCCTGTTCCTGCCATGTTGCTCTCATATACTTCAATGCCCTCTGACTTCCAGGTGATGACTGGGTCCCTAATAAATCCTACCTTTGGTTCTTTCTTGCTTTTGCCTTTTCTTGTCATGTATGTGAATTTTGTTGGAAAGATTAGAGGTGCTTCTAGTGCCTGTTTTTTCATCTTTCAGAATGACTCAGAGCTGCCAGATTTGTTTAACTTTATTTCAGTCATACAGAGTCTGGGATCCTTTATCATCCCTCCCCTCCTCAGTCTCCATCCCCGGGGTTAAATAATTTTAAAAAATATTTTAAAAGCTGTAACAAAATAACATCAAAGAAAATGGGAAGAGAGATGGAAGGGTCAGGAATCATGAAAGGAGTAGAGAAGAGAGAGCCTCTTCTCCCCCTTCCCCCCCACCTGGATTCCGCCTAGGCAGTAGGGAGGACTATCCCCTACCTCCCCAGGTACATCCCAGCTATAGATGAGGTCAGAGGTCAGGGTATGAAAGTGCCGGTGTGTGTGAATGGGGAGGTGGGCAGAGGCAGGCAGTTCAGAAGATGCCCCCACCTCCCCACTCAACCAGATACTGCACAGAACCATCAGGCCGTACTCTCCGAGCAAGGACCCTGACCGGGTCCCCTCGAGACAGGTAACCAACCCCACCTCGGACTCCTCCCCCAGTCCCAGGAGGCAAACTACGGCACAGGGGAGAAGAGGGTGCTGAGCGTCTAGGAAGACCTGAGGAGGGGGATGAGACTGAGGAAGATGAGGCAGTCATCGAGTGGGGGGTACTTTTAGGGATGTCTGTGGGGAAACCAATGTGAAGCTCCAGGGGTGACCTAGGGAGAAAAGGCAGTCATGAGTCCAGACAGTAAGGACTGACCAGAAATGGAGGCCACATGTGGATCAGAAGATTGAAGAAATGGTTGGAGGCTGAGGACCTTAAGATCACAGGTAAAGGTAGTATCATAGGTAAAGGTAGAATCTCACCTGTCTGGGGGTTCACCATCCCCAGAGGTCCCTGCGGTGCTGGCAGAGGGATGGAAGGAAGCGAACATCCGGATGGGACTGCTGGAGTTGGGGAGGGGGAAAGTCAGGACCTGAAGCAGGGGAACAGGATGCTCTCCCCCTGAGAAAGGCAGATCTCAAACACTACCAAGGAACCCCCATCCCTAGGATACTGGGGACCAGATACTGTTCTAGAAGTCTAAGACAAGAAGTAGGTAACCAAGGGAGAGAGGGAAAGGAATTCTGGATTAGGAAGTCTATAAGATGTAGACAACTGAAGGAGAGGTTCTAATGGAGTGTATCTGGTTGGAGGATGGAGGAGCACTGACCTGGGCAGGCAGCGGGCATCTGTGGGTCGGAAATTGTAGCCGCTGCTGCCCTGGTAACTCTGGTTAGGGCTGGGGGGTGGCGGAGACACTGAGGCCTAGAAGAAAGAGCAAAGGACTGAGATATAATCCTTAATGCCTTCCCATTACCATCATTTGCCCCATGGGGTTCCCCCAGGTCCCTGTACCTGCAGTGCCCTCTGCAGACGAGCCCGCTCCCTCTGCTCCTGGGGCTCTGGCTGATTGCGCACTGCTGAGGGTGGCCCAAGCTCCTCCATCTTCCCCTTTTGCCTCCTCCTCAGGGGCTCTGGCTCCAGCCTCCGGCGCTTCCCCAGGGGACGTGAGACCCCTCCCCCAGGGCCCTGCCCTGAAGGGAAGCTGTAAGAGGCCTCCTTATCCCCCCAGCCCCCTCCCGGACACCCCAAAGACCTCCCCATCTCCATACATATACCCCAGATTAATGCCCTGAGAATTTCCCCATGCCCCCTGGACCAGTGACCTGGTGAGGGCTCCATCTCCAGTAGGAGGCTCCACAGGAGGAGGGATCCGAGCATGGAGACCAAACAAGCATTTTCTCTTCTTAATCTCCCTCCCTGAAATGAAACTGGGGTGAGGAGAGAAATGATACAGAGTCAGTAGTGTAGAAAAGGGCCTCTCTTCCGCCATTACTCAGTCCTTTCCAGAGATGACCTTTCAGGTGGGTTGCGGTACCTCTCCCTCCCAGTCTTCCACATCCGCATCTCCATCCTTTCTGAGCCTCTTTCAACTTACCGGTCCTTGTGGCTGTTGAGTGCAGAGAGGAGCTTGGATGAACGTTCTCCCTTGGGGGTGTCTGAGAGCTGGGAGGTGGAGTAGGAAAAACGGGGTCAAAGGAGCAGTGATCCCCTCTCTTCCCCTTTTCTTCGCATCTCCCTGTTCCACCCTAACCTCTAAAGTTTCACTATTCCTTACCTCCCCAAGGAGCAAACTGTCCCAATTCTCAGAGGTGAAAGGGAGGATCTCACGGTCAAAATCAAAGTATTTTTTCTTACAGCAAACACTGAGGTGATAGAGGACAAGATGGGCCACATCCACCCTGGAGAAATGTTGAGTGTCAAAGTTGTGGAAGCATTACAAAAGCCAGGGGAGTCCTCCCAAGTGGGAGGCTACGGCAGGTGGGGTGAAAGACGGGGTACTGAGAGAGGAGTTATGCTGAGGTCATTCCCAACCCAGCTCACCAGCGAAGCTGTAGCCTCCTGACCTTCTCAGGGCCCCCCCGACACACACAGCATTCAAACTCATAGAACCTGGACGTGAGGAAGAGGGAGATGGGGTGAACTAGTGAGGAACTCTTCAGAGATTGAGAAAAGAATGAATTTGAGACAGGTGGGTGTGGAGGAACTGAGAGTATAGAGCAGAACAAGAGGGCTCCCTGGGCTCCTGGAGTGTCTGTCCTGGCCTCACCTGTCCCCATAGAGGAGGGGCTTGCTCAGACACTGGGTACAGGCCTCATGGAACCACTGTAAGCAGCTCCGGCACTGCAGCATTTTCAGGTTCCACCTGAGAGAGAACACAGGCCTAGTAACCTCCAGACGTTCCCTCCCTTCACTGCCCCAAATCCTGCCTACCACCTACTCCCACACCCTTCAGCACTCCCTAACCCTGTTCTTTCTCTTTCATTCCCTGGGATTTCCTCCACCACCACATCCCATCACTCATTTCTCAACCCCCGCCTCTCATTACTCACTCCCCAGGACCACCACAGTAACAGTAGCTCTGCTGCCGGTTGCTCAGATGTCCAGCGTCCCAGTCCAGCCCCTTTAGTCCATATGGCAGAGACAGCTTCATGCCCAGCATGGCCCGGGCATAGGGGCCCTTCTTCAGTGCACCCCCCCTCTGCAGAGATAGAACAGGCAGTTCACCTCAGACGGGTGGGGAGAAGAAAGGCTTGGAAGAAGCTGTGGGTAGGAGGCTCCCACAGGAAGGCCTTTACCTTGGTGGCGATGGCAAAGACGCACTGGCGGCAGACCCAGGATGTGCCCTCTCCCTCTCCAGGGGCTGGGGCCCTTGGAATGTGACAGTCCTGGTGATAAGCTGAATAATGATATTGACAGCAGAGCATTTATTGCATTGCAAACCTGCATGTGCTAGGTATTGGGATAGGAAGTCTTATCTATCCAATTTAATCCTTGATATGGTCCTGCTAGTGGGGAGGGTATTATCCTTATTTTACAGGTGAGAAAACTGAGATCCCTAGAGGTTTAGGGACTTGCCCAAGGTCATATGGTTAGAAAGGGAGTATTTGAACAACTCTCTGCCTATAAAGCTCACACATCCCCATTCCATGGCTACCTCTTCCTGTGTTGGAAGGGAATGAGGTTACAGGGTTGAGACTGGCCAGAGCACTGGCTTGTAGACTTAGGCCAGGACAGGTAGCATAAGGATCAGTGTTGGTGGTAAGGATCAGAGGCAGCCTGGAAGGCCCAGGGCAAGCTGGATCATTCAGGTGTCCTGCTCTCTCACCATGGCGACACTTCTCACAGCTGACCAGCCGGTTCCCAGGGACCACAGTCTCAGAGCGACAGACACAGCAGAGGAATTCCTCCCCAGGGAGGGCAGCTATGAGAAAACACAGTATCAGGGGGCCTGTCCTTAAGCCCCCTTCTGTACCCCAAGACGAGTTTCTGTCTTCCATGGGATGTAATACTCCCATGGCTGCTAGAGTCTCACCAGGGCTAATGTCTTTCCATAGAACCAGAAACTGGGAATCATCCTCAAACTGGACCAGACACACCTCTCGAGCACTGTCCACCTGGAAAGGGTGAGCAGAGGATAAAATGAGAATCACAACTGGATAAGGGGAATGGGAGAAAGGTGATAGGTGAAAGACCAACATCTTACCTTCTTGATGGTCCCCAAGTATAGCAGCCCATCTGTCCATCTGGCCAGTACATCCTGACCCTCCCAAAGTCGAGGTCTGGGGCCTGAGGTGGGTGCAGGAGAAGTTGGGTCCCAAAGTGGGGGGGCACCAGAGCGGCTCAGCCGGGGGGGCTGTGCCATTGCATCCTGGGGGGGCCTAGCCAGAAGTGAGATTTGAGGTTATGAAAGCTGAGAAACCTTTCTTATTTTCTTTGCTTGTTTTTCTGTCAAGGATTCAAGCAGTTGTGCCCCTAGTCTCCAAATCCCTGAGACACCTGGATAGGAAACCACTCAGCACCCACTCCCAGGCTTCTTGACTCTAGCTCTCTCAACTCTGGTGACTGGCTCGCCTCTCCCTAACCGCCTCCCCCCAACCTAGTTCTCTAGTTTCCCAGCTTCCAGAACTCCCCTGGGACATTATATCCTGGCCTTGAGATTTTAGCATAAATGATGGGCAGAAGCAAAGGTTACCACTCAGTTTTTACTGTCATCTTTTCCTGCTGTTTAGAGGTATCATAATTGGGGTGCTGTTACCCAGAGGTATTTTGGGAGCTTTTCTGAAGATGTTTTCCAGAGTAGAAACAGCTGCCTCCCCGGGCCCGCCCGTCTCCTTCGGAACAATCATCCTGGTGCCAGGTTATGTCAGGTCACCCTCAAATTCGGGGTTCCCTGCCCTCGGGTTAGATAACTTCCCGAGCGCCCCGGGAGGGGGGCGTGTCCCAATCCTGGTCTCTACTCCCCATGACGGCAAGTCCAACAGGGGACTTGAGTCGGCCCAGCCCAACCCGATGCGAGGGCGGTGAGGTTCTCCCGCCGGCGCCCTGCGGGCCGACCCCCGGTTTCCTGCCCCCCCCTCACAAGCGCCTCCCGCCGC